CAGCATTTCTGGTCTCCACAAGCACTTTGGTTCTATTGACTTGGAAATAGCAACGGCCACTGATGGCATCTTTGCATTAAATGGGAGAGTGCTTAACCTTCTATCTCTTGTCCCTTGGTTTTTCAGCCTGAGAGACACTCTAGTAAGTTACATGGAAACTAAAGAGGGTGAAATTCCTCCTGAACTGGAATTTCAGTTCCCAGAGGAGATACTGCTGTGCAGCTGTGTCCCCGTGTGGAGAATGGCCGCTGAACTGAAGCGAGGTCGGCAGGTGAGGTAGAGTGCTCTGCTCCTGACGGGGGACAGCGGGCTCTTCCCTCGTCTGTCACCAGCCGCCGCCTGGGCTAGGGCGTACGAGGGCGGCCGCTGGCGTGGCTCGGAACTCAAGATCCCCGGGTGCCGTGCCGCAGACAGCTGCGAGAGCCACGCTGTTCCAGGAACACGTGCACATTCCACATCGTTCCCATCGGATTATGGATACTTCCCGGTGGGAGGTGAGAACTGGAGACCCCGGGAAGCTGGGACAGATCACCTTTCGGTTGCCCGGGGTGCCAAGCAGGTGCTTCTCAGCTTCCTGGAACAGGAGCCATCCGTGCCTTCGGCTCGCCGGCTGGAGTACAGCACACGCCCACCCCGGCCCTTCTCACTGCTGGATGAGAAGGAGGGGAGACGGGGTTATTGCCTTTGCTATTTTCTAAATTGTTCTGCACTCACAGAGGAGAATCCAGCTTGATCCTTTCTTCTGTTCCCTCTGAGTATTGTGCAAATATTTGTAGGTTTCCAGAAAGGCCTTTTTTGTGTCCTCCCAGACACAAGTCAGGGCATTCAGTGCCTCGAGGCCAAACCTCTGAGACCTCACCCGGCCCCCACGGAGAGTCACTGCTGAGCTTCAAGGGTCAGAGCCAAAAAGCTCTCACTGTGGAGAGCGCGGGGCCAAGTTGGGGGTACTTTTCGGGTGTTCCTTCCTCTTTTACACAATGAAGAGACTGGAGCGATGGCCACATTTGCTTCTATTTCTAGAGGTTTTAAATTCCAAATGAAACTTGGTCAATACAAACTTGGATCAAAGGCATGGTTGCAGCATCTTTGTGGGAACTTTTAAACTGTCCGGGATCGTGCTAAATAAACGCGTCCTCCCTCTGAATCTATCTGGTCCTTCCTCCGAATCTCCACCAAGGCATAAAAAACAGACTCAGAGAGAATATAGAACCAGCTAAGTTTCTGCAAAAGGAAAAAAAGGAGAATAGTCAACTCGATCTGATCTTCCACGTTTCTTACTGTGAGGCAAGTGTCTCTTTTGCACAGTCTCCTTGGATACTGGTGGCCTCTGGACTGACGCCTGCTCCCAGGTGGCTGGGTACCCATCGGCACTGAGATGACCACTGTTTACAAGTCAGAGGTGACTGCTGTTTACAAGTCAGAGGCGAGTGTCTTCAATATACATTCTGAGTGAGTTAACGACGTGGGCAGCTTGAGATTGCAGAAACAAAACGCTGCCGGGACCACCGAACACGCGGCAGCCACAGTGGAGGGAGCTGCAGAGGGAACCGTCCTCCGTGCTCCTCAGAGTGTCTGATGAAGGGGAGCACGGTGGCCCGGGCCCCCTCAGTAATTAATCTGAAACAACACCCCCTTGAATTTAGTAACCCGTGATTGTTGTATCATTCTAGACTATGCAAAGGTACCCCCCCCAACCCCCCCTAACGGGTTGAGGTGCAGCAGGGAGGGCGCCTGTTCAGCTCGTCGACTTGCACTGGGAATCCCTTTGATTCCTCCAAGCTGGGACGGAGCTGGTGTGGCCCGCCAGGTGCTGCTCTGGTCCCTCACTGTGCCACACCTTAGCAGTGGGAGTTAGGGGTCAATATCTTGCTGTGAATCTTTTTTTGGGGCTGGGAATTTTTCCCCCCACTTTTAATGAAGGGTTTTTTAACTAAGATATTTTGTTTCGTATGCTATACCTTCAAAGCCTTAATGGTCATATCTAGGTTATCTTGTTTATACAGAAATACACTGGCCTAGCACAAGCAAATGTCAATTTTATTATACTTGTCATACCTGTTTTAATAAACTTGAGTTTTGCTGCTAAAGAATCCTTCTCTCTGAGGGTAGAGCTTCAGTTTATGGCAAGTAGACATCAGCTCAGCCATGGGGAATGGTTTTGGGGTGTGTGTGTGTGTGGGTGTGTGTGTGGAAATGTAGATGCATCCATGTAGTGGAAGGTTCTGGACAGAAGATGTACACCCCAGTGTAGAAAGTGAGAGGTAAACCTTTCCTCGGGACAAAATGATAGCCAAGCGGGGGACCCACAGCTGGCCATCCCTGCCCGGTCTCCAGACTCCCAAGCCAGAAGCTTCCACCTCGGCCTCCGAGGGCGAGCCCCCCATTCCCCGCCTGAAATGCCTTCGCCCGAAGACAGCAGCGCTGCAGCTAACCTTGTCGGAGAACCCCCTCTGTTCACAGAGCGGGGTTGCGAGACGGGCAAACCTTTCCTCTGCAGAAGGAAAGACGGGGTAACAAGGGATAAACTGTGAGCTTCCAGCGGCCCACTTATATTCGCGCGGGAAAATCCCACTTTAGGGGGAAACTGCATTTTCTCTTCCAAATGGAGAGGCTCCTCCAGGAGAGAAACTGGGGGCTTCTAGAGGAGGCCTCGCCCCTGCCGTCAGACTCCTCTTCCGGCAGCTTCTGTTCCGGGCCCCTGGCCGATCCTCCCCCTCCTCCTCCCGGTTCCCATCTCCGTTCACATCCGCTCCTTTGCACATTTCCCAAATGCACCCCTCCTGCTTCCCGCCCAGGCAGAAACGGCGCTTTGTCTCCTCTTTGTTTCTTTTTAATGTTTATTGTTGAGAGAGAGAGCACGTGTGCCACACGAGTGCACAGGGGAGGGGCAGAGAGAGGGAGACGGAATCCCAAGCAGGCTCCATGCCGACAGCAGAGGCTGTCAGCAGCGAACGCAGGGCTTGAACTCACAAACTGTGAGATCGTGACCTGATCCGAAATCGGACGCTCGACCGACTGAGCCACCCAGGCGCCCTGCTGTCTCCTCTTTTAAGACCTTACCGTGTGTGTAAATTAGCCACTTTTTGTCACAGGCTGCGGGATTCCATCACTTGTTCACGGAGGCAGCCGTGAGCTATGTCGGTTCCCAGAGCCAGGCGATGCGAACCTAGACACGAACTTCCAGCGATAAGCATTCACCGTGAAGACGGTGCCGGCAAAGGCAATGCTAGGGTTGGTAGTGCTGCCCAAGTCTGGGCACGCACGCGGGCCCTGGCACATCTCTGACTTAACAGCCACGCGCTAAGTGAGAAGTTGCTGTATCGGCGGGGCCTGGAGAGCTACTGGATGGGGCTGAGGGAGAAAACCTGAGGCCCTGAGCTGGGTGACCATCCATCCAAGCCATGGCTAGCATTCACATCGCTTCCTGCCTTTCTTCCAGTCCCTTCTTAGTCACTAATTAAACTTATGCACAAGCATTCATGGCTCCCATTTCCAACTGGAAAACCAGCACCAGGAACGCACAGATGCTGAGCATTTCACACATCATCAGGGTACTGGGGACAGCAGGGCCCTGCTTCCTTCTGAGGAGGAAGGATCTGGGGGGACCACTGAGGCAAGAGCAGAGAAATGGAGGAAGGGCCCTAGCCGGAGCCCATGCAAGCTGCCCCGGGACCTTGCACATCCTATACAGGCCTGCCTTCAACCTTGCCCCTTCCTCCACACCCATCCTGATTAGGAGGGTGCCCCAGGCCCTAGCATCCCCCTGGTGGCCACTGCCCGCACCCCCAAGCACAGCAGAGCCTCAGCCCAGAGCAACTTTGGCCCCAGCTCCACAGGCCCACGAGTGGCCCCCAGTTACCCAAGCCAAGGGCCTCCTCATCCTCACCGCCCTGTACGATGACAAGGCCGACACAATACATCCCAGATGGCCCCCAGTGTAGGCCTTGGCCCTCCCATTTGCCAGTTCCAGGGCCTTGCACAAGCCCCTTCCTCACCTTCTCTCTTTATTCAAGCAGCCCCCTCCCACGGCCTCCTGGCAGACAGCCTCTCCTCTACTGTCCTGCCCTGCCTGCTTCTCCCCTGCGGCGTATTCAGTAACCTTCCATCTCCTCTGTTCTGCCTCAGGTGAATTCTTTCACATCCTGTGCCACCGACTCCCACCAATCACTGTCCCACATCTGGGGGCTCCCATCCCATCCAAAGACACCCCATTTAAGCACCACACCTGTGGATTGTCAAATGCTACATAAAGCCTTTCCTGAACTTCAAACTTCCATATTTCCTCTTGAAATCTATATTCAGACTACAGTTCTTATCCACACACTTCCCCGATTTCCCCTGGGAGAATATAAACCACGGGTCAAATCGCTACCCATCAGTCTCACTGGCTGCCTTCAGTGCCTCAACTACACCAACCTCTTTTCAACCCCAGGGCCCTTACATGTGCTGTGCCCTTTGTGGAATGCTGTCTCCCACTCACCCCCCAGGGCTCCTCTTAACTCCCACAGCCAGGGTAAAGTAGGCATCCCTGCCATTCTCACGGCACCGCGCACGAGGCCGGGCACGAAGAGCTCGTTAAATTGAGGAGCCTGGGGTGAGTGTCAACGTGCCAAAGGTGGTCCGTGTTTGGTCTGCTGGGCGAGGCTGTGGGCCCACTGGGACCCACCCGAATTCGCGAGTGTGGTCCTCTAAGGATTGCGCCGTGCTCTCAAAGCTTTTACGGAAGTCACCGGACCCAAACCCACGAGCCGCGGATAGGGCAGGTGATCGGTGATGGGGTCCGGGCGGCTCGGCACGTCCGGTGCCAGAAGCTGAGGGAGCGTGCGAAGTGCCCGACGTGGAAGGTCACCCTGCCTCGCCCACCCTGCACTGCACACCGCGCGCGGGACGCGGGCGGCCGGCCTCCCCCGCCTCCCACACCCACCCCCGGGCACCGGGCGCCGACCAGGCTGCGAGCAAACCCGGCCGTCGCCAGTTATCGCCCGCAGCCCGCGCCGTCTCGAAGCTGTTCTGGTCGCCGCTCGAGCCTTCGTCCCGGTTGAAGGCGCCCGCGCGCGGCCGGGACCGCTCAGACCCGGGCGGGGCAGGTGGGCGGGCGGCCAGGAGCGGGCAGGGCTCCCCGCCGGCCTCCTGCCACCAGGCGGCGGCGTCCGGACCCGGGTTCACCAACCAGAAGCGCCAAGGCCACGAAAGCAGCAGGGCGCCTGCGCGCGAGTAGCCGGAAGTGACGCCACCAGGAAGGGACGCCACCGGAAGGGGCGTTTGGGGCCGAGCCATGGCTAGGGAGGCGGCGGAGCCGCCTCCGAAGGAGACCCTGTCGCTCTGGATAAGGTAATGGGGTCGGGTGACAGCCAATTTGCGGGGGCTGGAGCGACTCTGGGGCCGCGGAGGGCTGGGGGGAGGCCCGGCACGCAGGCGAAAGGGCCTTCGGGAGTTGTAGTCTGCGGGGTTGGCGGCGCTCGCTTCCGGCGCCGCGTCTCGGTGCAGGGGGCCGGAAGGTGAGACCGTGGAGGGGGCGTCCCCGAGGCCGGGCTCCCCGGGAAGTGGGGGGGTGGTGAGACCGGGAGTGCCCCGGGGAAGAGCCTCAAGCCCCGCGGGGCCGGGAGGCCCACTGGACGTGTGTCTGCCCTCAGGGAGCAAGCCCAGCTGAAGGCCCTCGTGGTGGACCGGGACACGGAGGCGTGGCAGCGGGACCCCGGCTTCTCGGGGCTGCAGAGGGTCGGGGGCGTGGACGTGTCCTTTGTGAAGGGAGACAGTGTCAGCGCCTGTGCCTCGCTGGTGGTGCTCAGCTACCCTGAGCTCGAGGTAACCCCGCGGGGGCCGCCCCGCTCGGGCTGCGGGCTGCGTTAGTGAGAGAGGCGGGACAGGGAACAGGGTCAGCGTAGAACCACGCTTCTCCTTTTGTAGGATTTCGTTAGTCGGTGGGGAAGCCTCTGAGGGAAAGAGAAGGGAGGTAAAAACCGAAGGAGATTCTGTGTGCTTCCTAACAAGTGTAAAGGCCCTTGGGGAATCTGACCCAGCTTAATATGACGCTGTAGGTTAGATTCTCACCAACCCCCTTTCCCCACTCGGGAGTTCTTTAGATTCCTCACACATGCCATGCTCTGTCTGCCTGCCTGACCTTACACTGGTGTTTCCTGTCCTGGAATATTCTCCTGGCTACCCCCTGAGCAGTATGCCCGTGACTGATTTGGAGTCAACAGTTCAGGAAGACCGGACAGGGAACGCTTTGCTCTTAGCACACAGCCTCGCCCTCCCTGCTCATCTGCCTGCTCCCCACGGCCGCATGTTCCTGCCTCCGTGTCTTTGTGCTTTACTCGGAAGACCCCTTGAGTCAAAATTCAGCAAAAACGTACTGGGCACCTGCCGTTGCTAGGAGCTGGGTGTAGCGGGGTAATGGAACCAGAGTCCCTGCCCTCTCAGGTCGCCTGGTCACTTGGTAGGATGGCCTTGGGAATAAGGCATAGACGCGGGAGGCAGACTGCCTAAGTTTTTACCTCCACTCTGCCGCTCCCACTTCAAGCCCTGGGCCTCCATTTCCTCCTTTCTAAATCAAGGATGAAAATACTATTGATAGCTAGCTGTGGTGAGGGATAAATGAGATCGTGCACGGAAAGCAACTGGTTGGCACGTGGTAAGCCCTCAAAAAATAAATATAGCATTATTAGGACAGCTATGTCCTCGCATAGGACAGCTTAGGACAGCTTCTCACTTTTCAAGGCCCGGTTCACATAGTCCCGTCGGTCTGTCCTTTTCCCTAGCTGCAGAGTTAATCACCTCTCATCCCTGTCCTTGGTCTCATTCTTAGGCAGCGCCTCTACGTTGTACTCAGAAGTTACCGCACTAAGCATAGGTTCTCGAGGGTAGGGTGATGCTGTGTTGTCGTGGAGCCCCAGCACGGAGCAGAGTGCCCGCTGCTCGGATGGAGTCGGCACCCGTCATCCTGTGCTCCGGAAGCTTGCACTGGGAAAGGGTTCTGGCAGAGCCTGGCGCAGCGGCTCCCAAACGCCTAATCACACAGATCTGCCCCGTCAGTCTCCGAAAGCGTGTTTAGAAATACAAATTCCATAGGCAAATCCAGAGACAGAAAGTAAATTCCTGGGTGCCGAGGGCTAAGGAGTGCGATAGATGCAGTGTGAGTGTTAACGGAGGTGAGGTTTACTTGGGGGCGGTCGTGGAAGTATTCTAGAATTACACGGTTGTACAAGTCTATAAATAACGAGAACGTTGAATTATACACTTCAAACAAGTGAACTTTATGGTAGTAAATTTATCTCAATAAAGTTTTTGAAAAATGTATTGACCCCGGAGCCCCAATTCATTTCCTGAAGAAAAAAAAGGTCTCCCAGTGGACGGCCTGGAAACCCGCTTCTTTAAACAGCATCCCTGTGATTACAGAGCACAGCCGGGGTGGGGAGCACTGAACCACCCTCCAGGCAGCCAGGAGTCCTTTCCTTGGTTTCCCTGGCGGATGGTGGTCTCACCACGCAGCCTGTTCGTAGTCGGACACCCGGTTAGTGCGTTCTTTTCCACGGGAAGCTGAATTGTCTGTGACGTCGGTCCATCGACTGTGCCTTAGGCGGCAGAGCGCAGGACAGACCTTCCCGCCACCCTCCTCAAATGTAGTTCCTCCCCAGTCCGGCGGACCTACGTGCAGCCTGAGACGGAGTTTGTAGGGGCACCACTTCATCGACCCAGGTCGAAACCTGCAGACCTTCACAGAGATTCTGATCGTCCACATGGTGCTCACACAATTGAGTTTTTTCCTTTTTCCAGATCTTTAAGCTGAAAATGTGTGAACGTTGAAAGAATAATACATTGGACACCTGAATACTCTCTACTTAGATCCGCCTGTTGCCGACTGATTTCTGTGTGTGTGTGTGTGTGTGTGTGTGTGTGTACTGAGGGATTCGAAAGTGTCTCCCGGAGGTGACAGCTCACCTCCGAGCACCTCAGCAGGCCTGTCCCGAGAATGGCCTTCTAGGCATGACAGCAGTGTCGTTACCGGACCTCAGAGCGGTCATTATAATCCTATAGCATCACCTGAATCCCTTTCCACGGGTCATTTCCCCAGTTTCCTCTTAAGTATTGTTTTGTTTCCTGAGCTTATAAAGGTTTAACATTTTTTTAAAGATTTTTTTCATGTTTTTTATTTATTTTGAGAAAGAGTGTGAGGGAGGGAGGGAGAAAGAGAGAATCCCAAGCAGGCTCCGCAGTGTCAACAGAGCCCAACGTGGGGGCTCAGTCCCATGAACCATGAGATCATGACCTGAGCCGAGATCGAGAGGTGGACGATCAACCTACTGAGGCCCCTGGTCGCCCCTTAAGGTGTATTTTAAATCCACTCTTGCTGTTACACCGTGTGGGGAGTGACGGGTTGTCCAGTATGTTGCCTGTGTTTCCTTTACTCTTTTTTTTTTTTTTTTTTTTTGTTACTTGGATTCTGGCTGTTCCAGAAACTGTTTTCCAAGTTCACACTTGGGTTTCTGAACATGCGGGGTCAGATTTCCTTTTATTTTTGGAACATTTTTTGCGTTGTGGCTTTAAGTGCTCTATTTACTAGTTCGGCTCTCTTGCCTTGTTTTTCTTCTGTAGTCATGAACTCTGGTCTTTCTGTCTTTCTTGTGTTTTTCCATTCCAAGTTTTTATTTTTTGCCTTGTGTCCTCCACGTGCCATTTAAGAATAGTTAATTTTCCTCTGCTTACATAGCTGTATTAGGGGCAGCATTTGTTTCATCACTGATGGGCTTGGATTGCTTGTCCGGTTTGTACAGCCTTTCACTGCTCATCCAGAGTCAGATTTAACTGGGTCTGGAGGGCTGGGGTCTGGTTGGCTGGTCAAGCCCATGAGGGGCCAGTGAGGTGTGTCGCCCAGTGAATGGGTGTCCTTTCCTGAGGTGAGATGGAGCAGGTGACTTTCTGATTCTTACACTTGTTTCTGAAAGAGCCCATGCTTGACCTCTGTCAAGTCACACCCACCAATCACAACCCTGTGCAGGGCTCTCCTGCTTCTCCCCTCCCCGAGAAGGCCGCCAGCTGGGTTCTCTGTGGCCTGTACCTCTCCTTCTCCTCCAGGAACCCCACCAGCTACCGGGCTGCTCATCGGTCTCAGTCCCCAGAGGTGCCTCCCCCGCCTGCCCAGTGCACGCCTAGAGCGGGCTCCCTGCCGCCTGGCTGTTTACTTCCTCCGCAGACAGAGAGTGGCTATCAATCGGACGGTCACAATGGCTCATCCTGTTAGGCTGTAGAGATGGGTGTCGGGAGGTGCCCCTCTCCTTGATGATCTCTGGTTTCTGGAACTTCAGAAGCGATGATTCAGGAGATAGCGGCCATCATCCTTGTGTGAGGAACTCAGGCCACGCTTGGAAATTCACGCACCTGTGAAATCACCCCTGTCGGGGCTCAGCACTCCGGTCTGTTGTTCTCTCAGGGAACCGGGTGTCATGCTGTCGCCGTCATCACGGAGACCCTGCCCCATGGGGGTCACTGGCAGCTGGGAGAAGGTTCCCTGAGTCATTGACAGAGATGTTGGGGCATCGCCCCTCCCCTGGGGGCACAGGTGGGGAGAGCCCCGGCTTGGGGGAGGGCTGAAGTTGTGGGTTCTCGAAGGGCCCTGCTCTTGCACTGTCCTGTCCCCCTGGAACCCCTTCCAGATTGTCTGGCTCTGAGGCTCCCTGTCTGTCCTTTTCTGAGTCTCTGAACTTCCACGGCGGCGGTTATGCGCGTGCGCGCGTTTTGTCTTGTGGTTGCTTTCTGTGAAGACCCGCTGCCTTCCTCCCCCAAGTCCCCTGCTAGTGGGGGAACAGTATCCTCAATTTGGTGCCGCTTTCACACACGTGCTTGTACCAGTTCTCTGAGCTCCTCCTCGGTTACATGGGGCTGTGGGGCGGGCGCTGGAGGGGCCTGAGTCAGGGGGCCCTGGTAGGTCAGCTTGCCATTACTCACACCTGCCCCCAGAGAGGGAGGCTGAGGAGGAGGCTGGGGGGGAAAGGGAGTAGGGGAGGAGTCATGCGCCAACCAAGGCTGTAGGTGACAGCCACGGGCAGGGATGGGGCCGTGTCACTGCCGGGTGACCCAGTGCCTGGAAGCATTAGAGGTGGAAGGAGGACTGATGGTTAGCCTGGATCTGCTCCCTCATGCACGGGCTTCCTGGCCTTCCGAGGTGCCTTTCAGGCTGGCAGGCGGGCGGCTGCGGAGAAGGGACTGCCTGCCCCAGGCAGGTACCTCACTGCACTCCAAGGAGGGAGACCCCCTCTCTTTCCACCCAGGAGGGAAGGCCACCCACTGCAGGCCGAGTACTTGTGGACCTCCCTGGAGAGGGTGCTTTTGACCTCCCAAAAAAGCCTCCCACCCCCAGAAGTGGGCGTGCAGCCCACCCCACCTGCTGCAGGCTGCTGCCCTGCCTGATTTGGGAGGGACAGTCCGCTGGCTGACTGTCACATGTGGTTCTTCCAGGTAATCAGGATGGAAATGGGCTTCTCCACCACCGAGAGTACCCCCCTGGAAAGACAGGGGCCCAGAAGGGGGATCGCTCCCATGAATCCCCTCACAGGGGTCTGTCACTGCTCAAGCAGGGACCCTCTGTTGCCGCCTGCCCTTTACCGCCTCTCGGGCTGGCTGGCTGTCCTGGTCAGGGACCACCTGTAAAGAACCTGCTTTGTCACTCCCCCTCGCTTCCTCTCCCTTGCCCCCTGAGGCTCTCCCCATGTCATCGCTGGCCTGTTGCCTGGGTGCCTCGGCCACTGGCTCACCCCATCAGTACTAGCTGGCCTGTCCTGCCGCTTACCCACCCGAGCCTGGACAGGGGCCCCACTGAAGCCGACAGGGAGAGTGCCCTTTGCCCCACTGGCACTGGGGAACTTTGCTCCCTCGCTTGGAAGGCCGCCACAGGACTCGAGACAGGACTGAGGAGAAGTCACGCAGTCGCAATGCGACAGCGTTTCCGCCTGGGAAAGGCTGGCATCGCCGCTTTTGGCTACTGCCTCGAGAACCCGGGTGCCAGCCGGTGATGATCATGCATCACCTGGCCAGAGCCCCAAGAGTGTGTTATAGGGTGACGAGGAGAGGCCTGGTGCTTTAAAGAGAAAGGATGGAAAGCTGGTGGAAAGCTGTGAAGGAGAACGGATGAAGTATCAGCGAGCTAACAGGCTCCTAATGCTTCAAGGAAGGGGGCGCCTCCCACTGGTGACCTCCAGAAGCGGGCTGAAAATACATTCTCGGTCATCAGGGTTGGCCATCTCATGTATTCCTGGCTCAGTCTGCCGGACAGGCTTCTGTTTTTACCTGGGGGGAGTTGCTGAAGTGGGTTCTTCTGGCTTGTCCCCATCGCTGTCTCTGGTCGCCTTGGCTCACTGCCCCACATTTCCTCTCAGCCTCACCCTCTGCCCCTGGCTTTTGGGGTGGCCTGTCACCTCGGCGCGCCCCACGATCTGCCCTGCATTGGGGTGGCCAAGAAACTCCTGCAGGTCGATGGCCTGGAGAACAACACCCAGCACAAGGAGAAGGTGAGGGATGGGGCGATGCCCTGCCCCATGGGGCAAGTGAGGGCCTGTGGGGAAGACATTGGTAGGCTGGGTGAATGCCTGTGCCAGCCCCAGGCCCGCCTGCAGACGGTAGCCTCTGTTCCCGCCCTTGCCTGCTGGCACCATCCTCCCCATCCTGGCTCCCTAACCCGGAGTAAGAAGGCTTTTCAGCGCTGCCCAGGTGTCCTCAATGCTCGGGGTCACGCATCTGCAGCAGACTCTGGTAATGGACGAGTGCCCTCCGAGCTCTCCCAGCCTCCCCTCCTGGGGCACAGGGCCTGCCCCCTCCCATCCCCATCATGTTTGCTTGCCAGTAGTGCCTCATGTAGGGGAATTTACTGGGCAGCACAAGAGGACATTTTGGGAGCCCATGTGGCCCTCTGTACTCGTCCCCACCTTCTCCCAGCATCTCCCTCCTTCGGCCCCCTCAGGCTGGCTTTGGGAATGTGACAGCCACTCCGGAGGGAGCCGGAGACGTGCCCAGCCCCACCGCTAGATGGCTGATGCTGAGAACAGTGATCATTCCTGCGGGCAGTCCCGGGCAGTCCCGTGTCTGTGCGGAATAGTTTTGTTGAGTTGACGGGGACCCCAGAGCAAACTGACGAGACTCCTGAGACACTCGGTGGGCCAGTCCCCACCCCTAACAAAAGCCTTGCTGGGGTGAATCCAACATGCCTAAGTCCCTCACGGGAGAAAGAGCGGCAGGCGGTGCTTCCGGCCCAGGTGGCGTCCATGTATCCACCGGCCAGGCCGGGAGGGTGGGCGCCAGCCTTCGTCCCAGCCTGGCAGCCCCCCCCACCCCCCGTCAGCACCGCGGCCTGGGCGGGCTGCCCCTTCCTGGGCCCCGGGCACCTCGTGCACGGAACAAGGAGGGAACTGAGGTCCGACAGCCTCGTCGGGGTTGGACGCTGCCGGGGAAGGCCTCCCAGACGCCGAGCCCGCTGATGGCATGGGGGTGGGCATGGCCTGGGCTGCAGCCCACGCACAGACTCGCCCGCCCTCCCCTTGCCTGGCGGCTGCGCGGCCTCAGACGTGGACAGGCCTGCCCTCCGCCCTTCCCCGAGAAAAGACTTCTTCTGTGTGTGTGTGTTTTCCTGTGTTCCAGATAGGACTCCTGCGGGCTGGAGGAGACTCGTTTCCTCTGACCGGGGGCTCTGGGACCGTGCTGGGCATGGTGAGCGGCCAGGGGCCTGTGCGCCACCGAGATGGCACCCACAGAGGGGCAGGTGCCTGTCCGTGTGCACCAGACCCCGTCCACCTCCCCCTGCCACCCTACTGGTCCCGGGGGGGGGGAGGGGGCCTGTGCCTTTCACCCCTGCCCGGCACCCTCGGCTGTGCCGAGGGGAGCTCCGGGCTGCGCGTGCCCCACACGGCCCCCGGACACGTGGTCAGCCCGAAGCCCCCAGGGCTTGTCTCTACCGTGCCCTGACTTCGCCTGCCTTGTCCCAGGCCCTGAGGAGCCACGACCACAGCACCAAGCCGCTCTATGTCTCTGTGGGCCACAAGATCAGCCTGGAGGCAGCCGTGCGCCTGACCCGAGGCTGCTGCAGGTTTCGGATCCCGGAGCCCGTGCGCCAGGTGGGTGGGCCGGCGTGCGCCTCCTGGACTTCCCTGGACGCAGGCGCCTGTGGAAGGGCCTGATGGGGCCACGCTGGGCCCTGGAGGGAGGGGAGGGGACCAGAGTTCATCCTGGGGCCCTGCTCCGCCCAGGCCCCGGGTCTGCCGTGCTCCACTTCTCCTCGGCCTCCTACGCACCCTACCGGGGTCACTGGGAGAATCTGCTCAGGCGGCACAGTGTCCTGCCAACTCCCAGCCATCCCTTCGGGGGCCCGACCCGCCCCGCCGGCCTTG